GCTAAAAATTTTATCAGCCCTCAAACTGATAAAATTAGGAGGCAACAAATCATGAAAATTAAAATAATGATGATTTATTAAGGCTGTTATCTGAGGATTGTATTCCTCATCAGGAACAATAATTAAAAAAACTGTTTTCCTCCTTCAGCTAGAAATAGCATGTAATGATTTCCAGGGGCTATTTTACTTACAGTGTTTTTTTGCTTGTTGCTTCACAAACCCAAGAAATTTGTGTTTCTTATTAAGGGAGATTTTTTAACTCCTTGTCATTGCAGTGGTGGTTGTTGTAAGTAGCTTGCTAAAATCAATACCAACATTTAATAAAAACCCCCAGATTTTCAGCTATCCTGATATGAGTAGCAGTGTACTTTAGTTCACAAGAAAATGAGCTGGAGGTCAGGAGACTGGCTACAGACTCAAGTGTGGGACCTCAGACAAATCAATTCCTCTTTTGATGCTGCTTTTTTCTCCACCACTAATGTAATTTCTGCTAAGGCTGCAATCACTCCTCAGCTTCTGCAGTGCCTAACACAGCAGCTGGGACCATTTGATACCACAATCCAATTATTATATTAATAATAAATGAATGACATAATTGTGATCTTAAAATTAGCTGGATACCTGCTTTGTCATTTGCCAACCAGTTGTAATTGTCCCACCTGCCTCACTTCAGCTACAGTTTGTGGCACTAAAAAGCCCTCAAAATATTCTGTCAATAAATTGTTCATCCATCTTACAATTTCAAGGTTTGAGGGATATGTGGTGTGTGACAACTGAAATTGAGCTGGGAGTCAGAGGTCCAAATCTCCAAAAATCATGAGTCAGTGTAATGAAATAAGGTCCTGTTGGAATGAAGACCAGGCAGTGCTATTTATGTCCTGATGGCATGAAATGGAGGAAGCCACACTCATCCTTTGCCAGTGGATGAATGGGAAGGAGGTACAGGGGGAACCCAACAAAAAAGTTTAAAATAATTAGAAAATAATACCATTTGGGAAGAATTGAGGAACTGGGCATATTCAGTCAAAAAAAGAGTTGAGAAGAGAGGAGTCTGTCTACCTGGACCTAAGAGATGTAGAGAAGATGTGAGCTGATTATTTTAAGTCAACAAGAGCAGAGTAGTGATGTGTGTGAGACAAACAATGGGAAATTCAAGTTGTCTGTTCCCTGAACCCTGTCCCATCTGAGCAGCAGGACAAGCTGCCAGCGAAAGCAGTACAACTACCTCTTGTAGAGTGAATGTGTCTCTCTGGATTTTGCTGTTTTGTCCTCATTACCCTAATGAAAAATAACACAAGGAGCAAACCACAGCAAAGGAGAAGAGCTAACTAAACTGTCACTGTGCTCTTTCAGACAAGGAAAAAAATGTACCCTGACTACTCATGAATCAGTTTAGACTGCAAGTTAGAATATTTCTAGCCATTGAAGCAGTTTGTCTGTAGCTCACCATCTAATGTGGCAGCAACGTTGGGTTCAGAAAGCTTCTGCATAAATTAAACATGACAGATATTACTGAAGTGTTTTTCTCAGGTTGCTGGTAAAGACAGAAGATTTTATTATCCTGTAGAAATGTTGATTCCTAGAGCCCATCTTGGTAAAACTGTTAGGGAGCCTTGCTGGCAGCTCACTGATCAGATTGTTTCACTCTTTACTTCTCTGTAAAAAGGAATGGAATCTCTTTCACTTAACAAAAAGAGGAGCTGATGAGACACAGCATGAGGAGTTAGGGCTCAGCTCTGGAAGGTGGGTGTCTCAATGGGATATTTTCTTAGCAAGGCTTGTGTGATCAGCCCTTTTCCCCCCCAGAAAGCAGTGCCAATTGAGAGAGACTCACTGAGGGAAATGAGTGAATTGTAGGAAAAAAATCCTGTAGGGAAAGTCATGGCTATTTATTTCTGATTTGGGCCTCTGATAATGACTTTGAATTAACATCTGTGATTGCTGTAGTGGTAAGAAGACACTGATGCACAATAGTGCAAAAACCACTTCATGGCATTGAAGGCTGGGAAGGAAATAACAGGTTTTTAACACATAGAAAAATACAACATGCCTTTTTCTGCTAAGGGGTCATGTGCATGTTCAAGGTGAACAGTGTTACTACAAGAGAACAAGGCACCTGTTCAATCACAACTGCTGCCATTAAGATTCATGTTTCATACCTAGTGGAGTCCTAATTTACCCTTGGGTACATGTAGCAGGTAGTTTGGGCTGGAGGGGAGAACACACATTACAAACTGTGGGTTTAGGGTTTGGGGTTTTTTTGCCTTTGCAGTGTACATTTGAACAAGATTTCTGTTCACCACCAACAACTTCTCCATTGAACTAAAGCCCAGACTCTTCTGCTTTGCAAGCAAAGGGCTGGGGAGCATCAGTGGGGTAGGGGATGGAGCAGAAGTGTCAGAACAAGCCCAGCACAGCTGGTGGCAGAAAGCAGGAGCACAGCAAAGAACTTGGCCTGCCTGGGGGTGGGGGGAAACCTCCAACTGGAACAGCTTCAGTGTTTAAATGAGGTGTCCAGAAGATTTTACACAATGGGAGCTTGATGGACTTCAGGACATACTGCAAAAGCCATTTATTTGATGGCTGTTCTGACAGGCTTTGCAGGAGGAAAGAAAGGCGTCTTCCTTTGGATGTGAGCTGAGGTGAAGATTGTAGGGCAGTCTGGGTTTTCCACTGACTCTTGACTGGTGTTAAACTCCCCTCCCTTTCAAGTGTTAGCACTTTTGAGATGTTTTGGGAACACATCATTTGCCCTAATGAAGAAAATACCTGAAAAGTTTGGTGCAGTGAACTGAGGATACTTTATTTTCTTGACTGGTTGAGTTAATCCACTATTTATAAATAATTAGGTTTGCTGCTGGATAGTTATCTTGTGTATCTGTGAGCCAAAGTATCTCTTGGCACTCTGAAGTTCTTCATATAGAGATTTTATTATTTAAGTGATTATTTCTTAAGAAATATTTTAGTTCTTGCCAGGGTTTGATCACAGAATCAGAATGGTTCAGGTTGGAAGGGACCACACTGTTGAATCTCAGACACATTCTCACATATGCCCAGATCTATTTTGGGGGAAAAAAGTAAAAGCTTGAGACTTTCTTTTTTATTTTTTCTCCCCTATGTGTGTTCAGTGTTTTCTTCTAAAGTAATTTATGTAGCTCTGCACTGCAGTCATTCAGCAGTGGACCTGTTCATGCATACAATGTACCCTTCCAGCAAAGCCTTTAAGATGTTTTCACTGTAGCATAAAGCTGCATTGGAAAGATTTAAACTGCACCAAAAATTAAAAGATTTTTTTTCTGGTTCACCTGGAGGGGGAAAATGAGCATCACTTTCTTGACAAGAGATGAAAGAAACAGAGAAAAATATTTTTGGGCCGCACATCAGAGCACTTACTTGCAGTAATTCTCATTGTGGCATTTAACTTGCCTTCTGTTGAATCCTCATTTTTCATGCATTAGACACCTATGGCACAGAGTTCTTCTGAGCAGAAAATGCAGTTTGTGTATATATTTTCAAAAATTAAAGTTGAGATTAATTGAAGTGGGAAACAGCAACAAACATTTTTACATCTCTTTTTGTTGTGAAAGGAACCTCTGCTTATTCTAGTGAAATAACTTTTAGTTCAAACCTCAGTCTGTGCATCAGTCAATGTTAGGCATTTATGAAATTAAGAGAGCAATGGGTAAATGTGTAGTGCTCTAGTTGGGGACTGTCATGCAGAGGTGTCTGATTCAAATGTCTTATTCTCAGTACCTCTTCTTGATTTCCTGTGATTCCTTGCGCTGAAAGTGAAGCCAGGTTTATATGCATCAGTGCAAGGCTTGGGAGCTGTTTCTCCTTCTGTCCTTTTATTTGGAAAATTCTCAATATTGCAGTGAGTCCTGGAGGCACAGACTTAGGATTTTGTAATAGGAAAAAGGAGGAACTCTTCTCAAGACTCAGTAAGAAGCTGAAATGTTTTGGAGAGACTCCATTTAAAGCAGTAGCAGCTGCTCCTACAAGGTGTTTTTTTTTTGTATCTTGAAGCCTCTGTATTTGGTAGAGTGTTGGTAAATTAAGGTGAAATCATTTTGGGAAGTTGGATAGAACTTCTGTGCCAGGTTGAAGGCAGCTGAGCTGCCTTGCCCTCTGTGCAGCTCTGACAGCGGCACAAAGGGAACTGTGAGCAAGTTACTTCAGGTTTTGAGTAACAGAGGGTGTTGGAGATAAGAGATGAGATTTTCCTCTAGTTTGAGTGCAAGAGGGGGAGGATTCTCAGCTTCAGAGGCATCCAGTGCAGCTCACCATTGCCACTCTAGCCCAGGGGTGTTGAATGGGAAAAGCTATTATGAGAAACACTCAGGATGGAGATAAACTTGTCCAACTACAGACTTCCACAGATGCTCTGAGCCTTGTAAAGGTCAGTTAAGAGAAACAGGCACTTCTGCAAGGCAATCCTGGAGAACACTCTATGCCTGGACGTGTTCAAACCCAGGCTGGATGGGGCTCTGAGCAACCTGGTCTGGTGAAAGGTGTCCCTGCCCATAGCAATGGGGTTGAAATGAGATGGTCTTTAGGGTCCCTTCCAACCCAAACCATTCTGTGATTCTATGTGGAGAGCTTCCATAAAGTTGAAGGTTTTGGTCCCACTGAGTTGTGGGTTATAAATATAATGAGATGATCAGGATTTAGGATATGGCTTGAACCTCCCTGGTTTATGCCACAGTTATAATTCTGAAAGTTGTCACTTGTCACCTCCATGTTTTTACCTGTTGTATTGATTTTGTTAAGAAATTTCCATTGTTCTGCCTCCAAGAAACAAAATGAGAAACAAATGTGATGGTGTTCCAAAGGGTTCCTGGTCTGTCTGAAAATGGGAGATTACAAAAACTCTGGTTTAGTAGTAGGTGATAGTTGAGCCCCGCTTTACTACAATGAGGAATATCTGATAGATTGCTGGAGTTGGCCATTAGACAGAGCACAGCTGGGACAGAGTTTCAACGACCAAATTTTTCTTCCAGAAATGGCAGTGTGTGGAAGATGCCAGTGGAAAGCTCAAGCTGCACAAGTGCAAGGGAATGGCCAACTTGGCAGCTGCAGGCAACCGCAAAGGCACCTCCAATCTTCTGCCCAAGTATTACAGCAGGAACAGGGAGGGCTGCAACTGTGAGGAGAATGAATACAAGCTGAGCCACGTTGGACAAAGAAAGAAACTCTTCTCCAAGAAAAGTAAGTGAACTCACTGCACGTTCTGTCTCTGCCTTGAGAAGCTGTTACAGGTTTGTTCACTAAGTAGGGGCACAGTCCTCACTTTCATGGGCATTCTGTCAGCATGTTTCCTGTGCATCCTGTCTGTGGAACAGGGTGCCTCATATTGGACAATCAGACTTGAAAATATTTCTGTCTGTAGGAAGAATGTTTTGTTCTGGGAAATGCAGTGCACACGCTGAAGTGGCAAATTGCATGTGGTTATTTAGGCCATGGAACATGAACAGTGTTCTACAGGAAATACTCCAGTTTTCAGTAGCTACTGCAATGTTTGGAGCTGTTGCTGCAGTAATTTATTTTTAATAAGGATGTGTGTGCTTTGTTACAGAAGCTGCTTGCTTCTGACATCCTTTCCTTGTGCTCAGTCAGCAGAGACAAGGCTGACTTTTAACCAGAGATAACGACCGAAGGGGATGACTGTTTCTGGTTCCCTTGGCACAGATCAGGTGCTTTCTTTAGAAAGCCCATTTTACTGACCTTACTCAGACTAACACATATATTTGAAGTATATAGCCTAATTATAGATTAGAGGCAAATGGAAGCACAGAATTATTAGTGACTTGTAATGTTTCTTTCGTCTCACTCCACAAATACAGAGCCTTAATTATTTCCCACATTAGTCTTTCTATATAATGACCTGGCACAAACTTCAAACAGAGAGTTTAAATTGATTTTCTCCCATTATATTTGCTTTGCAAGCTGATTAGTAGCTACTAAGCTAATTTTTAGTTGAAAAAAATTACTGGTTCCAGGGTGAAATTACTCAACTATACTTGATGTTTAAATATGTGGCACAGCAGATTATCTAGTGTTATTTAAACACTGGAACTTGTACTTAATTGACTACTTCCTTTTTTAAAGTCCCAGAGAAGAAAGTTCAGTCCTGGGGATTCAAATAAGAGGTGAAGATTGAAGGCACTTAAATGAGAAGAGGAAAACAATTTAAGTGAAGGCAACATAATGCTATCTGATAGCACTTAGCACTTACTTAAGCACTTTTCCTCAGCGCTTTTCTAAACATTAACTAATTTCGCAACATCCAAAGGAGGTGATTAAGTGCATAATTACCTTTAGTTTATGTATGTAGAGGGGTTGAGGTAAAAGAAGTGAAAGTTGCTCCCTCTAGCAGAGGAATCAGAATGGTGTTTTTTCCTGTGTTCTGCTCAGAAGAGGCAGAGTTTACACTTCAGCTCCCTCACCTCATTGAACCTTAAGGCATAAATTTCAGCAGGTTAAGATAGGATCTTGCCAATTACGTTGCCATTGCCTGTGTCTTAAGTAAAATAATTGCTTCCACAGATGCTTTGTCTCTCCCTCTGCCCACATCCTGTGCTCTGCAGGGCAGAGGTTAACTTCGACCTGTTGGCAGAGACTCTTTGGTTTGGTGTTGGCTATTCTTTCCCATTCACTTATCTAATCTGTCACACCCCAAATGCAAATGAGCACAAAACAGTGCAAGTCAAGGTAACATAACCAGGGTTTTCTAAACAGTTTATGTGGAAAGCTGGATTGTGTATAGTAAGAGGGGAACCTGGATACTCCTGATGTGTATTTGGATTTTTATGTTCTGTTTCATGAGACTTGGGGTAAAGTGCAGTCTGTGCTGGGTTGTTTAGTTCTTAGGGAACCTTTGGGTACTCAGAATTTGGTGAGTGCATGAGATTATCCTGCAGCCCTGTTTGAATGCCAGTAAATGCAAGTGTCATATTTATTAAATCCTTAATGGCACAGAGGTGTAGATTACTTCCTTAATGAGGCCTGTGTTGATAATTAGTGGCAATGAGATCTTGGAAGAAGTATAAAGTTACTAATTCTTTGTCTTCATTTTATTTTGTTGGATATTTTGTTGGGATTGAGGGTGCTGGAAAAGTATTCTGGGGTGAATATCCTGTTTGTCCCTTATGATGTTATATGGGGGTAGGGAATGGGTTCAGCTGAACTCAAACTCAGATTGAACAACTGCTAAATAGAAAATAGACATTTCAGACTGGACTGGGGTCATGTCCTCATTAATACCATAGTTCCCAGCAGTAGTGTGATTTTGAAGGAAATGCCCTGACCAACCACTGCCTCCTGTTGTGTGCAGCAGAGATTTGCAGAGGGCAGTTTTGGAGGATTCTAATCTACAGACACTTGCAGAAAACCAGGTTGGATGCCCTGCACGTGTGGTGCCTTGAGCATGTTGCAAACCCTAACGGGGTACAAGGATTGGCCTTTCAGAAAGATTAAACCCACTTATGTATAGTGAGAACAAGTGGTCTAAAAGGCCAGACTAAATTGCTGATAGAGGAGCTGGAGCACCAACTGTTTAGATAAAATAATTCCTTTCTAATTACTCGTTTTCAGGTGCACCAGTGCTTTTTAACTGGCATCAAGTGTTTTTTAAATTGAGTCAAGTCAGTTTTAAAAGCTTTTAAGTGCCAGAAACACATAAGCATTAATATTTGGTGTGTCTGGGTTTAGGTGTCAGGAATGTTTGAATTTTTGCATACGTTTTCTTTAGTGTGTTTTTGTTTTTATAAGAAAGATGAAACAGAGCTTTGCAGTAGGTAGAAAGTTTTAAAGTACCAGTGAGCTCTTAAAATCTTTGACTGTGTTGTGGTCTGCTGTGTTCTTATTGCTGTGGATTTGATCTCCTCCTCCTGTGATGAGCCAGTGTATGTGATGAAAGGAATTCTCAAGCTGCATGTAGGGAAATGATGATAGGCCACACAGGTTTGTAAACAAACAGAAGTGTGTACAAAGGGCTTAGTGTATTATTATTCCAATTTTCCTGTCATTCATTTTTCTTTTGAGGTAGTCTCAATGCTGGAGCAAAATGGCATTCTTTGTTGTTAAAAAAGAAATGATCAGTTACTTTAAAGATAATGCATTTGAAGTATGATTTTTCATAGCAGTTGTGAGAAATGGGATACAAGAAAATTTTGTGGGTTAGATGTTTTTTTCCTTTTTGAAATATTAGGGACAGATTCAAAACACAATTTCTAGAATTCCTGTGGCACACAGTGCCCAAGAAAAAACACCTCTAAACTTTATCAATATTTCTGGAGATATTTTTTAAAAAAACATCTTTAAAGTGCCTAATTTTACTTTGTGTTATGGAAAAAAAATGCTTTTTTGTCTACCAAATGCAAAATATATAGATCTTAGTGGGAAATGTTCCTTTCAGGTTCCAATGAAGACAAACATGCTGACTGTGTGATCCAGGAGGACCCAGGTGGATGAATGGGGCACTGAATTCAGTTGGCTTTCTTGCCTTAAATATTTCTGGGCTCCATTTTGGGGTTTGGTTCAGTTTTGGGGTTGCAGCTTCTCAGCAGTACCATCTTTAAGGCAGGTGGTTTCTGGACTAGCTGAGGAAGAGAGGCATTGGGACTCAGCTTAGCAAAGCTAAACTTTAATAACTTGAAGAAGGGAGTATAGATGTTTTGGGGCAAATATTTAACAGCCCTGGATCTCCTATTGGAGAGGAAAACGTGAACCTGGGGGAGGATTGACTAGTAAGTAATTAAACATTGGTATTTATGCCTGCAGTGCACTTTGCAGGTGGGAGAGCACAGCACAGATGAATACTGATCTCATGAAATATTTTAACCACTTCCTCAGAAAATGGTAGAGTTTGGTACTAATCCCAGCACGGAGTCAGCACTGGGGGTGGGATAAAGCCCTACAAGCAGTCCTGGAGGAGCTGCCTCACTGCAGCCCTGTTTGTTCCCTGCAAGGCTGTCTTGGTTTTGCTGCAAAGGGAGGAGGAACTGCTGGCTCCCAGCTCTTCAGGGATGTGTGGAGATGACTGTCTGCGGAGGTCCAGCGTGCTGGATTTGGCATATTAGACTTGGAAGGAAGATAAATGCTTAGTTGGGTGAGCTGAACAAGATGAAACGAGGAAGTGATTAAAGAAATGGGAGTTTATACTTTGAATCTAATTGTTAGGGTGTAGCTTTTTGGAACTTTCTCCTACATCTGAAAAGATGGGAGTTTCCTTCTCGTTTAGTCAAACATTTCCTGAATGGGTGCCTGAAGTAAGGCTGGTCTTTTGTGGCTTTTTTTATCCCTTCAGCAGTGACTCACCTGGCTTAATATCAGCAATAAACTTTGAACCACAGGTGGAAAATGTGCAAAGCCAGCAATCCAGCTGCTATTCTACTTTCTGTGTGTGGTGCTGACAAAAATATAGTGCTTGGCCCAGTTTCAGGTGAGAGGAGATGTTCATTTCACTTCCCACAGTCTGCAAAACGCCTTTGGAGACTTTGCAGTCTATCTGAGGTGAACGTAAGGCTTCTTGAAAACAAATCACTGCATCAATGCCAAAGCATGCCAAGTATTTCTTTTGTCAATTTTGATTGTTCTACCTCCAATTCCTCCCCCTTTTTTTTTTCCCCCTACTTGCTTTGCTGGGGAGATTAACCCATAGAGAAAGCTGGTTTTTCTATGGGGCTTGGAAATGCAAGAAAGATCAGTCATCTCATTTGGCACATTGGCTGAGTTCTCCCTTGAGCAGGTTGCAGAGGGAAGTCCCATCTCATGATGTTTGTCTGTGTGAAGGAAAAGTGACTGAAGGAGCAGGGGCTCAGTTGTTTCCAGTAATGTCTGAGGTAACTCCAAGCCTCATACACAGAGCAAAGCCTCAGGCTCCCTGGGGCAGGGAGCAGAAGGGGGTCTGGTGTACTTTTTTCCTCAAGGAATGAGGTGATTGTGCCGAGTCAATGAGTGACTCTCAGCAGTTGCTGGTGGTGAGCAGGAAATACAGTCAGAGATGGACCCATCATGCAGCAGGAAAGGTTGGATATACATTTAGATTCCATGGCTAGGTTGTATTTGTGCCATTCCAGACCAAACAGAAGAGGAGTTCTGGGGATTTGGGCTGGAACAGAGAACTTTGGAAAGCAGTCATGGTGAAAAGATAAAAGAGAATCTTGTAGTGCACAGTGGCAATTCATAGCAAGTGTTTCATTTTGCTTTTGGGCTGCAAATTCAGAAGAAAAGTCTGAGGGAGTGCAGAGCACTGGAGGGTGGTGCTTCGTGGAGAAACTCATTGATTGGGATGCACAGCAGGAAAATAACTGTGAAGCAAAGAATCAGATGTGGATAAAAGTACGGATCTGGATATTAATCCCTCCTGAAAAAATCAAGCATCCAGCCTTGAAAATGAACACAGAATTGAGAAAAGACTCAGGCTGAACACGGGGGATGATACTGGGACAAGTTCTGGGAAGTGTTGGGGAATCCTGGCAGAGGAGCGTTGTCGGGAGGGCAGCAGAAGGGCAGAGACTGGTGGGTGGGGGTACCCGGTGTGACCGCGGGTCGGTGCCCGCGGCGCGGCTGCCACCTGGTGACCGCGGGCAGAGCAGCGCCCGTGCGAACGAGCTCTTTGTTCTCAGTGCTGCCAGACCAAGAACGTTTTCTTTCCCCTCTGCCATTCGTTTGTGTCTGCACTGTACCTGCCCTCTCCCGTGCTCTGGGGTGTCCGTCCATCCTTCTGCCCGTGCCAAAGGTGAGGAAGCAGCAACTCAGAGGAACAACTGCAACAAACACTGTTTGTCAGCCACTTAATTCCAAACAGCACAGTGTGGGCTGGTTGTTTTCCTCCCAAAAACCATAGAGAGGAGTGAATTGTAACATGCTGCTTCTGCCCTTCTGTCACTTCTTTTTCCATGCAGAATTTAAACCAAGCTACGTCCGGAATCGCTCTGTCCGTTCCGTGTCTGTGGAGCTGGATGGAGCCGTTTATAACCTGGGATTAGAGGATGCATACCAGCCCATCTTGCCAAGGAACATCTCCAAGCGTCACAAGGAGCAGAGGGCTGTTCTCCGTGAGGAGGAGGACAGAGACATGGGGGAATACAGTGGCACTGGTGGCATTGCAGAGTACACAGCCCCTAACCTGATCAAAGTGACCCACAGGTGAGTGCTCGGGGTAGAGTTGGAAAAGATTTTGCTGCTTAAGTGGCTGCTTTACATAAATGGGTGGGTTAAAGTGTGCTAAGCATATTGGACACCCAATCTAGCTTCACTAAAATTCGTATTCCAACCTGTACAACAGCCTTTGGTTCTGCTGTAGTTTTGTCAGTGCAGAGGCTGAAGAACTGCAGCAGTGCTTTTGTGTGTCCTGCACCGGGCAGAGACAGCAGTCACAGATCAGGGCATTTTCCAGAGATGCAACAGTTACGTGGACACCTGTGTGAAAACAGGAGAGACCTCACCCCTGGAAATCAGTGTGCAGTGGGTGACCTGGCCTGGCTGGAGGCCAAAGGCTCTGACTGGAGTATGAACTGGTTTTGGGTCACTGGTTGCTTTGTACAAGCTTTCTATAACCAGTGCCAGGAAAGGGAAATCTATATTATGAATGAAGTTGGATGGACCAGGAGCCTTGGGAAATAGAACATACTGGGAGAGAGGGAAGGGAATTGTCTGAGCACTCTAGTGGCTAAAAATAATTTCCTCAGGGAAATGTCCTAGGGACTGATGGTGTCTTTTCAACTGTACTTTAATGAGTTTAATCACCATTTCCGCTTGTGAATTATCAGGAAAGCCACCAATCATTATTGACTGTCATTAAATTGTCATTAAATTGTTTAATGATTAACTCATGTAAACATGCAGGAACCAGTTAGCTGCTCTTGGTATCTGTGTTTTCCATTTGACTTCTGTCCACAGAAGTGAGTTAGAGACTTGCTAGTAGGAGGAAAGGTAGCTAAGTTGGCATCAGAAAATTGTCCTCTTAACCCAGCTCTCATGAATGTTCAGGACTCATAAATCACCATTTGTGCTTTTCTTCTGGAACAAATTTAATTGACTTTTTGCTGCCTTACTGGGTGAATCCCAAATTCGTACAAGGAACTGTCAGGAAGGTTGTGCATTATTCATCAGGAGTCCCCAGGAACACTGGCAGAAAAGAAGGCAGTGGGACAACATGCACGAGGTGGTTTAAAGAAAATAAAGGAGTAAATAAAGGAGCTTTAATTTAAACACGCATTCAGAAATGACTGTGTGGTATTTGACCCCTAATGAACTTCTCAGGTAAATCTGTCAGGTGGTGATTTTTGTTTGCTTGTTTATTAAAGAATTTTAAAAACTTCATTTTACTAGAAGTTAGTGAAACATAAGGACTTAATATTGTCAGAGAGTATTTTGCCTTTGAAGTCAGGGAGACGGGCTCAAAATTGTATCCCTTTTGTAGAAAACAGCAAAATTTCTTTGTATCTGATTTGGTTTTTTCCCCTTTTCTTTATGGTGTGGTAATACATCTTACATCGAAATACTTTATCATTGCCCCTACCCCTGCATCACTTAGTTATGCTCTGGGAAACTGCTTCTGAGTAATGCCTTCAGTGCTTGCTGGTTAGTAGAGATTTATTTAGACAGTCTAATGAATAAGCAAGAACTCTGTGCAGCACAGTTTACATACAGAAATTAAGCAGTCAACAGGTTCTGCTTGATAGAAATAGTCTCCTTGAATTCTTCTGCTTCTTTAAAATCTCCATGGCAACTCAAAGCCAGACTTCTTTCCTGGCTCAGAACATGCTTGTATTCTCTGGAATGAATATTGGTTTTGGAATTCTGCATGTCATTTGCAATCCATGGTCTTATTTGTCCTGGAGCTGTGTTATTAAAAACTGCTGCTTGCCTTGCTCTGTGTGTGTATCCCCTGTAACAAACACTGTTTGCTTTTCCGTGCCAAGGTGTTACATCCTGGAGAATGACACTGTTCAGTGTGACACAGATCTGTACAGGTCACTGCAAGCTTGGAAGGACCATAAACTTCATATTGACCATGAGGTCAGTGCTGTTTTCAGAGTGTGTTTTCAGCATGGTTTTCTGTGGGCTGATAGGATCGTGCTGACTGTGTGTGTCTGTCTGTCTGCCTCTGGGTGTCTTTGTCCCTCTCTGGAACCTTTTGAACTTGCTGGCTGATTTGTGAACAGACATTTCAGAGATAATTGAGTTAGTACAAGTTTGTGAAGACAGGATGCTGAGTGAAGGAGAGAACTGCAACTGAAGGCACAGCTGAGAGGTGTCATATGCCTTATGAGATAAATAAGACTTGTAAGTGTCCCCATCCTGGAAAAAAATGAATCTGGATCTTTCTGACCTTTTAATAGCCCTTCTCTGCCAATGTACCTCTCAAAAACAGGATTTCAACATCAAATATAAGACCAAGGAAAAGCAAGGTCCATTAGTTTGGTGCTTCTAGGATTAATTTCTTTTGCTTGCTTGTGCTTTTCTTAACCCTTGCACTTTGGAATTGAATTTTTTCATAGGCTTGTGTATATGAATAACCTGGAGGTGATTTGCCCTATGAAATTTGCCTGTAAAACATCATCTGATATTTTTGTCACTAATATTTAAGAATGTAAGCTCAAACCTTTCACATGTATCGTGTACAAAAGAGGGTCTAGGGATCCTCTTCCAAGGAGCAGGTAGTGGTGGAACAAATGCCAGAGAGGAGCATAAAGGACAGACCTCCTGTAATCTCTTACCAAATTACATAAATTCACAGTTCTGGGTAAGAACCTCTTGGCCCCCTTTTATGGTACAGTTGACACACAAGGCAGATACTGAATAATTAACTAGTCTGCAAAGATTTCAAAGGGCAATTTCAATCTCACCACACTCTGGTGATTGTTTTTTCTTCAGAAAACTTGGGCAGTATGGAATGTCAGAGGAAATGAGAGCTCACCTCTGTCCTGTTGTGCTCCTGATTTAGGGTCACAGGGCTGGATTCTTTGTGTATTTTCCTTGAACACCCTGTCCTGTCTCTGCTTCAACAGCCATGAGCTCCCACATCAGTGACTTCTGGTCACTGATGGCTCGTGGTAGTTCTGCAGGCTGTTGTTCACAGTGGATTACACAGGTTTTTCTGCTGTGTAGAGAACTGAGGTGGATGCCTGCAATACCCATCTGAGGGTACTGCAATACCCACTGTGTATAACCAGACTGAACAAAAGCAGGAGTTTCATTTAGTGAAAAAACCAAGCAGTTAAAAATAAAGCCCTGTGGGTGGCACAGTTGACTGCTGGTGGCTGTGCCATGTGGGCAGACACTGCTGAAGCCTGCCATGCAAACAGGGCCTTGCTTTCAGAGCCTCTCGAGGGATTTCAGAGCACTCCCTCCCCATCCCCTTCATGATGTCAGAACAGGATGAAATTTAAGGATTTCCTTTTCCTTGGAGCAACCTTTCTCCTCTTGCAAATGTGAGCCCAAGAGGAAAAACCCCAATGGAAGCAGGAGTGTCTGTGTGCCCCCCATTCCCTCTCACAGTCAAGAGTCAGAGCAGGCAAACCAGTGAGGCTTCCTCCTGCTGGAGCTTCCTTCTGGAAAGTCAGATAATTCAAAAATACTTGTTAGTAGTGAGAGTCATGGCAGGTGAGAGTCAGTGAAAAGGAAGCATTTGGTGACAGCAGAATGGGTTTGAGAAGGTTAGAATAAGACTAAATCATGCTGTATTTTTTTAACCTCTGTCTTTACCTTTTTTTTTTCCCCTTAGATTGAAACCTTGCAAAATAAAATAAAAAACCTGAGGGAGGTGAGAGGTCATCTAAAGAAGAAACGACCCGAGGAGTGTGATTGTAACAAGATAAGGTATTTCTTGTGTACTTCAGGATAATTATTTGCAGTGTGAAACTGTAACTGATTTATCTCCTCACAGGAGGGTCAGGATCTGGTTTGTTCAGTGGTTGCCTGCTTACTCTGCCCTTGAATGTGCTTTCAGGGGAGTTGGGCTGCTGCCCAAGTACATGACACACCTTCTCCCAGGCAGGAGTTTAATTGCCTGTGTCAAGTGGTGATGATGTAACGTGGCTTGTAAACCAGTTAGTTCTGCTCTTGTACTGAAGATGCTGCTGTTAAATATCAGAGATGAATATTTTAAGCTCTGGGTTTTTTTCTGGCAGCTTTGACACGGGCAAACTGTGGCTATGGTGCAGTGTTACACAAATCTGTTATAAAAACAGTGGGAAGATGAGAGAATTCCTTCCCATTCAGTTTTTTTCCAGGCTGGATGTATTATCTCCCAAGATGAAATCACTGCACTATTTAGCAGCTACATCTGTTGGGAGGAGCAGGAATTTAACAGCTGGTGCAGAGTTACCTGTATTTGTAACCACCACTGACTCAGGGCAACAGATATTTCTTTCCCTACTGCAGATCACTTGTGCATTAAGTGCAGCAGGCACTAGAATAGTGATTAAGTGTTAAGGTCTCTGCATAGTTGGTTCTTATATAGCCAAATATTTGCAAAATGGCCACAGAGTCAGCCCGCTGATTACATGGAAAGGAGGTTCATAGAATCATAGAACATTAAGGTTTGGAAGGGACCTTGAAGATCATCCAGTTTTTCAGACTAATATAGGTTACACTTACTTATATTAGTGCACAGCATTTTTAAGATGACTAATCAATGAAGTTAATCATCCAAGTTATAAATGTTCATGTGTTTGCAGAACCGCATTGCTTTAGAATTTAGAATTAGTTAATCTGTGCAAAGTTAAAAAAAACTGAAGGAGATAGTTCTTTATTATTTGTTAATTTGTTATAAGGATTAAATTTAGGAAAGCTCTCAATAGCATTAAGAATTTAAAAGATTTGTTTTGAAGGGAATATTAATCTGCTAACTAACTGAATTCAGAACAACAACATTTATTAAACTTCATTTGTCTTTGCTGATTTTTTTGGGTAGTAACTTTATTAGTCAGAAAATACTGCCATTGGCTGAGGCTGTTTTGTCTTGGTAATTCCACAGAAAGGAGACTTCTGCAAAATCATGACAGAGGCAAAGCAGTAGGCAAGGGTGTGTATGTCTGCTTACACCCTCATATCTCAGAATATATTAGACACTGCTCTTGCTGGGACAGTTCAGTCCATCTTGTTTGCTTTCTTGGAAATTCCAGCTAGTAACAAAGGAGGAAACCTCCTTCCCCCAACCCTATAGTACAGCTGGCTTTGAAATTCTTCCATTCAGAAGGAAAATAACAGGAAGGTAGTATAAGCTGGTCATCTTATCAACTGAACAAATGGGTGAATATCCAGTGGAAGAAATGTTGTAATTTCATTATGAATCTGTTTGCTTTATCTGCCCCGTGTAGGGAAACAAGCAGTTACAACTGAAATCTTAGTAAGCTGTAGCTGGACCAGTGGGTGGCTGCAGCCTGCAGTGCGGTGGGAGCACACCGGGGGTCACTGTGGGCAAAGGAGCCAAGGGAACGGGCACAGGGAGCTGGGAAGGGCCGGCAGGGTCGAGCGAGGCTGTCTTTATTCAGTGTACACTAACGAATGGAGAAGTGACACTGGATTAAATCTGCTTCAAACCCAGTCTGATAGTGTGGTACAAATAGGAGCGGTTGTCTTTGTTCACCAACAATGCTGTTTTTATTTTCCAGTTATCATTCAAAACACAAAACCAAGCTGAGGCACAAGGGATCCAGTCTTCATCCTTTCAAGTAAGTGAAGGGCTGTTTCTTTGAAAGAGAATTTGCCAAGTCATTATAACATTTGGTCCATACAAACTAAGCAAAAGTACCAGTGTTTCATTTATCCTGTATTAAAAAGCATAAACACAGAGACACTGGGCAAGGAACTAATACTAGTAAATTCTGAGATATAAGGTTCCTGCTTTGGGAAATGTCATATCACAGACCTCAGGCAAGCCCTGTAAGCCCCTTTGGCTGCATTTTCATTTTCCGGTGCTGTTGAATTGCAGAGTGATCTCCATTTGGAAGAGAAGCCATTTACTTAAAAAGATGTTGATTCTTTCCCTCAGAGCAGCTTATTTTACGAGCTATTTCGGGTTTTTTAGGCTCATTCAAGTGTAACAGAGTTTGCATGACCCTGATGTTTCATGTGTGCAGGAAGGCCCTCCAGGAGAAGGACAGGCTGTGGCTGCTGCGGGAGCAGAGGAGGAAGAAGAAGCTGCGCAAACTGCTGAAGAGAATCAAAAACAACGACACGTGCAGCATGCCTGGGCTCACCTGCTTCACCCACGACAACCAGCACTGGCAAACTGCTCCCCTCTGGACATGTAAGGATACTGAGAACTCGGGTTCTGGCTGGACCGGGCCGGGCTGTTGGGTTCCGAGTTTGGGGTTTCAGTGCCTGTGTAGCCCCAAAGGCTGCCCCAAAGGAAAGAATCTGCTTCAGTGCTGCACAAAAGGCAAGGGAGGTAAAAACATCTGCAAGTAACCAACAGACACTGCACAGTGTACAGGGATGGGTGTGGTATCTCACCATCTGGAATGTTTCCCAACTAGACAAGACGTTGCTTTAATGAGCCGTGTGGTGTGGGTTAGGTGTGCACAGAACAAGAGGCTGATGCTGGAAGGCATTCTCTGCTTTACAGCTCAGGAGTAAGAGTTACCCTCTATGAATCAAACAGAAATAATTAGCAGTGCTAAAGACTGTAGCTGATGCCTTTATAACTCTTACATTTGCAGTGGGCCCTTTCTGTGCCTGTACCAGTGCCAACAACAACACGTACTGGTGTTTGAGGACAATCAACGAGACCCACAACTTCCTGTTCTGTGAATTTGCTACTGGATTTCTGGAGTATTTTGATCTCAATACTGATCCATATCAGGTATCTGATCATAGACCTCAAGATCACAGCTCAAGAAATACAGCATTTTTCCTTACTGATGATCAACTGAAGTTGCACAGTATTGCTGCAGGATGTAATTTAAGGCCTCTATCACTTAAACCAGTATAATTTGGCTCTTTCCTGTTACAAATAAACCACCTGTATTCCATATATGAAAGCTATCAAACTACAGAGCAATAGTTACTAACAAGAACCCCCTATTTATTGCAGCTAATTAACGCAGTGAATACGCTCGACAGAGATGTTCTCAATCAGCTGCACGTCCAGCTCATGGAACTCAGGAGCTGCAAAGGGTATAAGCAATGCAATCCAAGAACTAGGAACATGGATCTAGGTAAGTGCCTCTCCTGTTGCCCTGACAACCCCCCCAAAGAGGAAATGGGGCTTGCTCTTACCATTATGAAACTTGAATCAGTCAAAAGGATTTTAGTATTTCTTAATACTGGTAATGTCCTGCTGAGCTGGTAACTGCATGCTTAGATTTTTGTAGGTGTTCAGTTTGTGTTATGTAATGTTTTTTAAAATTAAGAATGATATTTAAATAGCCTAGTGATGAGTGTTACAGAGATGCAGAGGATGATGAGGAAAGAAAGATACTGGTGAAAGAGGGAAATAATACCCTGATAGCCCCTATCAAGCTCATAGGCCAGTTCAAGTTGGAAGAGACTTGTGGAGTTCTGCTCCAAACTTATGCTCAAGTGCAGGGTCAGAGGTGAGGGCATGGCAGGTTACTCGGGCATGCCAGGTTACTCAGGGCATTGGGTGATCTGTTAAGTTATTAAGTCTTTTTTAAAATTGTCTTACCTGATACAGGCAATCCTGGGTAACATTGTTAATTTTTCTTCACCTAGGACTTAAAGATGGAAGCTACGAGCAGTACAGGTACATTTAAAAAAAAAAGTTACATTATTATTCTTAAATACTACTTTCATGCTGAAAAAGCAAGTGTGGGATTGGGAACAGCATGGACAGGCATGGCCTGGAAGGGCATTTGAAAGGCCTTTCCACTCCAGTCGCTTTGAAACACTTTGAAACTTCTTTGTTTCATGTTCTAACTTTGGTAGTCAAAATTCAGGCTGAACTCTTCTCCTTCCTCATCTTTCAGACTGTAGTGCTGGTGGTTTTCTTGGTGATGGTTAACTTTTTTCTCCTTTTGCTGCTTGAAAATTAGGCAGTTTCAGCGTCGAAAATGGCCAGATGTGAAGAGACCATCATCTGCCAAGTCACTGTGAGTTGGGAGCAGTTCACCAAAAGCATTTGCTTTTGCTTTAGCTTTTTCCTTCTCTTTTTGCATGCAACACCTTTTACAACATCATCATCTATTCTCTTGGAATGCTTAAGTGGGAAGTCCTCTAAATTATGCAAGAAATACGATACTTCCCCATCATTATTGACAACTGCTGCACAAAACTTCTTGGTCCATGTTTTCTGGGACTCCAGGAGAATTAAGGGCAAGGCAATTTCAAACCAGTAAAGGTGGATGCTCAGCTGAAGAAACCAGTTATGGTCAACTGCCAGTTAAATTTAAAGACCAGTATGTTGGTTTTGCCTAAATTTAAATTAGTAGCAGCTACCTTGTGGTTTTTCACCCAATCCAGAAAGAACAAAACCGACTGTAATTTCTCACGAGCAGAGAGAGAGTACCTTGTACTTTCTTGCTCTTTATCCGACCACAGCCTTCTGTTGTGAGCAAAAAAAGGAAGTTAAAACAGAAAGTAGACTACAAGACAGATTTGTATCTAAAAGTGCTTTTTTCTTACTGAGCTGCCCTTTAAAACTTGACAATGATAATCAGTTCTCAACCTGCCAGAGCTCAAAGGCGAGATACAAATTTAAGTACTTAAAAAGTTACTGTCTCTGAATCTCCCCTTAAAAAGAAGGCAGAGATTTCAGTTCATTAAAAATCATAAAGTCCTCTCAAACTGTGCAGTGGAAAAAATATGCACATGTCCCTTCCTAGACACAGTCTGGCCTTCTCACTTGCCCAAGAGGATTTGCTCATGTAAATAGAGTATTTTTATTTCTAGTTGAAGAGATTTAAGACTGGCTTTAGAACCAGAATGAAGCTTGAATTAACAAGCTTTGTACAGGTTGAAGTTTCAAACAGAGTTGGACTGTTTCTGTCATACACCTGCTATGGTTTTATAGGTGGTGCACAGTGTTTCCATTGTCTTTTACTGCATGGAATCATTAAAAATATTTAACTGCTTTCTACTGGAATGTTATACACTAAAAATGTGTTTGTTTTATTTTAAAGAGGACAACTGTGGGAAGGCTGGGAGGGCTAATCTCCCCAACTGCTGCACCTCCATGAGGATACAAACTGGCCAGAACTTGAATCCATGTACAGACTAAATGAATTGTAACATTAGCCTGAAGGACTGGATAAACTTTGAGGCTGAAATAGGTAGAACGTTTGCACTGGTGAGTGAGTTAAATAGATGCAGTGAAACTATGGGAAATGCTGTCAGAAATACAGGTCTCTGAACTCCACTATCGTACCTGCTTTTTGCTTTGGATTATACCTCACCTGCTTCACAAGGCATTTTGCTTCCAGAAGACACAAGTAACGCTGAGCCAGGAATTGAGAGAAGAGGAAGCACAGCCCCATCCCAAAGAGAGCCATTCCAGCGGCAGCGTTTCCACAGACAGCTGAGGGAAACTCAAAACAATTTGCAGTTCAACTTTCTCTTCAGTTGTCATGAAAAACACTTCAAAGCCAAGCATAACTCTAAAGCAAGATCTAGAAACCATGGATGCTTTTGCCTCTCACTGGGGTAAAGGCAGTGGTTGAACAGAATTTGAGCAGCACTGAGTGTTCTCAACACCACGACATCTCTCCAGTCTCCTCTGAGGATACCTTTTAGTTCCATGTCTGTTTGTCCATCCTACTGCCACCTCTATGAAGATGAGAGAAAATCTTCACTAACAGATTTTTGGAGGGGTTGTGTAAAATATTGCTCAATATACTGTTTGCAAAGCAATTCCTTCAGGTTGTAAAGAATTTTGTTAATAAAAAGAGTGTAATGCCCATGCCCCGTTTCTCAAAATGTTACTTACTTTTGCTTAGGACGTGTCAGAATTCATCCATTTTTAGAAGTACTGAAGAATTTCAGTAAATGTACATCTCAAATTTTAACAAAATCAGATATGTATGAAGTTTTTTTTTTGTGGTAATAACCTATTGTATGTTCAAAACCAAAACAACTCCTTTGAGAAAGCAGTGTTTGCTCAGCAATGTAACTTTTACATTTATTTTTTAAAAAAGGCAGCTCTGAGAAGTTCAATACTTGTAGTCAATAAAGAATAATCTAGTTAATAGTTTAGTCTACAAAAAAAGTTGAAGTTCTGAATGACAGTTACTGTTTAAAGGCTTTTAAAGGGAAAAAAAACCCCTATCATTTTACTTAAGAAGCACAGTGTACAGTTATTTGAGTATTTTCATAAGGACGTTATTAAATACATTGTAGTACAGGCCATTGTAGCACAGGCACTAGTGGTGAGATTTGTATTTATAATTCATGGTACTCTGGTACCTATTTTAAAGGCACGTGCCCGAGGGTGCTCATGGGGCAGGACTTGACCAACTGTGGCCTTCACTCCTAACAGCGGTACTTTTTCTTTTAAAACAGAAACTTAACTTGCTCTTTTAGAAATGCAGTGTAAAAAAAAAATTACAGCATGGAAATTATTTTGGAACTCTTCCTGGTTTTGCACATAAGGAGAATCAAGTGGAATCATACCCAGGCATATAGATCTCTGGTACCACAGCCCCCTACTCAAAAAATATACTTGGATTTAGGAACTAAGGAAAAAAAAACACAAACAAACAAAAAAACCCTCATAACACAAAAACCTGCTCAAAAAGCAGAAGTGGAGTCTTTGTAAATGTGCTATACAGCAAGACTAGGCTTGAGTATTTGTATTACATGTGGTAAGTCAAATATACTTCCCAAAGTTTTCTTGCAAGCTTTTTTTAATTATGGAAGTAAAATATGATTGTCTGTCTTAATCTAGACATAGATTTTCTTTGCAACTTGTTACAGCTGTCATGGATTATTAGAAATATCTATTAGATGATGAGATCCTGAATCAATACAAATAAGTAAAAAATGAAACACATTTTTTGCTGCTTCCCAGAGAAAAATTTTAGCCATCTGCTAAACTTTACAGAAAGAATCTGAGTTTAGATATAAAAAAATTGGCACTTACCTTTTTTTTGTGTGTTCAGCCTTTAGTCCTTGGCCAGCTGAGGGTGTGATGGTGAAAATCCTGCAGGGCCCAGTGTTCCTGCTCCTGTTGAAAAAAGTTACCTTGTTCCTTTACACAGCCCACTGAGCTGTGGGGTTGTTTGGGACACAAGAAGCAGCTGCTATTTTGTGAAAGGTAAGTTGTTGCCAAATTGGGGAAAGCTGCCCCCTCTTCACCTTTCAGCTCTTGTACAAACTGCTGTTGGAGTTGACAAAGACAACACATCCCAGGTGCTCTCGATGCTAAATGGGTCCCAACAGGGAAAGGTCGCAGTTGTTGCTCCCTCAGCTTTTGCAGCCAATTAGGAGAAGATGGAAATCATTCTCTGCACAGTTTTCCTCAGTGGCAGCACCAAATTTTCTCTGACCTTTGCAGGATACAGTCACGAACCTTAAAGTATTAGACAGCTAATCATGTTCTGATTTTAAATAGAAACCTTTATTTACATTATTATTAACACCCAAACACAAAAGCCAGAAGGGCGGTAATACCTTACAACCAACTCTTTTATAAATCAGTCTCCATGATTTTTCTGTTTTGCAAAATAAAGATACAGATATTTCAAGCAATACTTACAATGTAAACTAAACTTAAATGCAGTTCTCAATACTGTATGCCTTCTCCTGAGAATTTTTTAAAATATTGCTCTCAGAATTACATGGTTTCATACTTGCTGTATCATTCTGTCATCTGGTAGTCTGCACATAAATTCTAAAATAAAAGGTGTGCTAATTGGTGCAACATTCAGATAAGTTTTGTCTTGTGACTGAAACGTGGTTTGGATTTTCTAACTTTGAAAGCAGTATTTTAGGCCAAGAAAAAAAGTATTACATGTGAGTTTTATTAATAACCACATGGTTTCTGTGATCAGAAGAGACATGTAGTAAAAACAACACATTTATGCAGCTGTGATCAGAGGTGGCTGTACTAGCTAATTGATCTCTTACTGTTGAATAATGTTATACAGGTTGTTTTTTAAAAACATTCAGAGAAATCTGCTGCTACAGAACCAAAGCAAAATTGATGGCAATAACTAAACATCAGCAGATTTCAAACTAGATGTACTATGCCAAGAAAGATGTCATCAATGCTTTTTAAAAATGCCCCCTCCCCCTTAATCAAGTTTAAACTAAAAATCTTTGGATTCAGCAAAAAAAAAAAAAAAAGGTACAATCTAAACACAGACGAGAAAATGATGATCCTTAAAACATCAGTCAGGTACCAGTTAAACATAGATGTATAAACAGAATCACTTTACAAAAATTGTAGGGCAGGATGTCTAAAGCAGTCCATAGTCCTAAGAGCTCACCTAATGAAAGCAACCACGGTTTGTAGTTTCCATCAATATAATGAACAACTACAAAATATAAAGATTGTTCTGCTCTGATCTGATATAAAAAGCATGCGATTGTTGCCTTTCAACTTCAGTGGGCAGCACTTAAATAGATATGTTCTAAGAAATGTAAAAAAGGAAAAAAAAAGAGAAAAGTTCCTCAGGCTTTTAAAAGTTATGCATTAAAAAACACACGTGAAGTGGACAGAAGATTTCAAATAAATGCTGTCACCTACTCTGTTTACTCAGTGCTAATGGCAGAGATTGACTGATCTACATTCCCTTTGGAATACAACTGGCTGGATGCTAAGGATGAATGTTTTGAGACTATTTCTATTTAGAGTTATTTCTATTAAAATGGAAGATCACCGAATATTCTGAACAATAAAACCACCTCTTGCTAATGTACCAAGAACAAGCAATAAAGAACACAGCTCAGGGTTGGTTTTTTGTACTCACTTGGGAGAAATCAGTCTTCCATTACACAATGAACAACAGAATAGGAGCACCACACATCTGAAACATTTCTGGGTCATCACTTAGGGAAGTTTAGAGGTTTGACTTGTTGTAACTTTAAAAACTGCAAAGGGATCTTCATTCCAAGGCCCCAAAATGGAGGGGAAAAAAAACCCCCACATTATCAGCAAATAATATGTAACCAGACTTAAATACTGATATCAGAGAAAGCTGCTTAGAAAATACATTCCTTCCTATTAGAACAATCCAATGTAGGTGCAGACATTTGGTTAAAGTGTGGCTTAATATCCTTGAAGATTTCTGGATGTCATGTAACAACAAATATTTTGCAACAGACAAACATTTCCAAAGATAACATTTAGAGTTCATTAAAATTGACCAAAAAAGACACAATCCAGATTCATCAGCTGAAAAGGTGACCTATTACAGAAAGACACGACTGTCCTGACAAGCTGGGACATCTCACAATGCAGAGCCTTTGTGTCAAACTGCCTTCTGTAAAAAAAGACATGTAACAAAAGTGCTCACAGGTGGAGAAAGCATTTTACAACCGGTCTTTTTTTGATAAAAAGCTATATGTTAAAGATGTAAAAATAAATGAAGCGTTGAAGACCAAAAAAGAGAAATATGTGGGCCAAAGTCACCCAGCTTTAAAGTCACTAAATCTAATTAAAGAAAAATTCTATTTGGACCTCAACTACACTGAGTTTACAGAAATCGATTTTGTTAAATATTTAGCTTCACAAACTCTGCAAAAATGAGTTAGTGACCTACAAAAGTCATATATATAATACATTATCTTAAAGATCATATTTACAAAATTTATTCACAAAAAGACTGCAAAATTCTGATTCTGACTGCAATGCCTTGCCTTTTCTGAAGTTATTTTCCAAAAAAGATGAAAGATTATTGCTCTAATTTCCATTCACAGAAAACATTACATTATGCAGTCTTTTCAAATAATTCTTAAGAGATTGTGTTTGAGAAGGAACATGAGTACACCCCTACCTTCATATTAAGTCCTTATCAAAGATATTGCATTAATCCATTTATATAGTCTTCTATAAAGTGCACTCAGCTGCACAGCAATATGTAAATATTAGTCACAACTGTGTTTAAATAATTTAAACTGTTTATCCTCTCTTTTTAACCCTTGGCTTCAGTGGACAGGATTTTGGACTAGAATGTGCCAATTCATTTTGCACTGCTACTTTGCTTGGGAAATCCCTGACTCTTGGGGGTAAGAGACTAAAAGCAGCATTTATATTCAGGAGTTAATATAAAAAGAGTCAAGGCTAAGACTACATTCTCTGTCAGATACTGTTACTAGAGAAATCAAAAATTCTTACCACTGTGACTTCTCCAGGCACTTTTGTCTGCCTGTAGTTGAAGGGCTTTGGATACAGTAAACAGATCTGGTACACCAGGAGCCTACCCATCAAATCTACTAAAATGCCATTACCAAATTCACAGTTCTAGAGGAAGAGCGCCAAAAATATTAACAAACTTTTTTTGTACTCCACAATATACAGTAATACAGAGACTTCTTCTACTAAAAATTTTTTTTTTTTTGGGTGGAAGGATAGGGTTCTTTTTTTTTGGCTTATTTTTTCCTCTGAATGAAGTAACTTAGGACGTCACGGTGATTAACTTAGCACTGGTTTCTGCAAGCCCAGTCTGAGTCATCTTCCTTTCCAACACTAGTGCATCAGTAATACAGCCTTTCTTGCTTGAAGATGTGGTTCTGGTGTCAGCAGTACTTCTGCTAAAGAAAAGAAGAAACAATCATCAGAGAAAATAAAAAACACCTTTGCTGAAAAAAAGAAATAGTCCACATACTGCATTTGGAAGAGGAACCTACTGATAATCAATGTCTGCAAGCAGAAGAGTAGCTTTTCAGTGCTCCACTTCTTTGAAAATAAATATCTAGAAGAGAAATGATCTCCCAGAATCTCCTAAACACACTATTTGGGTATCTTCATGTAGGTTTGGAAAATCTGACATTTCCCCTTCATTTTCCCCTTTATAAAAGGCATTTGTTGTATCAAAGTCCTCCAAACCCCTACTTATCGCCCAGAAGTCCTCAGATGATTTTCCTCAGGTACCTTGGACAAAATTTCCTGAGGTACATTTTACTTGGATAGATTTAGCTTATGTCAGTATTATGTTGCTCATCCCTTGGTATTTTGTGGAAAGAGTGCAGCAATATTCTGTAATTCATCTCTCTTTTCAGGGCCCATTATTAGCACGTTTTCCCCCTAAATGAGGGGCCTGTATTTCCCATAGTTTCTGGCTATGCATACACAAGCTATTCTAAGGTAACTATCAGCAGCACTATCAGGATTCTTGACTCATAAGAGCTAGTACATATAATTTTCAGCATCTGCTGAAGATGGTTTTCACAATGTCCAGGGGTGGCTTTCTGGGGTTTCTCCAGGTTCAGAAGTATTTCATCATCCTTTGTGCAATCTAAGTCTTGATCCTACCTATGATATTTAAAAGTCAGCAGCTACTCACAGCACCCAGCTTAGGTGCATCATGGATTGGATTACGTATCATCAATAATAAGGTGTCTCTTTGCACATAAAACTGGCAGGTCCCACAGATGTAAATATGAACAGGATAACTGAGAGCAGGACTGTGCCAGAGGA